GTAATGATAACATAAAAGCCATGTTATTTACACGAACAAAATATCAGCTGATTAGATACACGTTTATTTACACCGGGAAGAGGAGCAGCTGACAGTGTTAAGATGGTTCGATTCCCACGAGATTAGTATAATATCACTAAAAACACTATAGTAGGGTTGCCATATTTAAGTTGTTCTATATTTTTCAAAAACCAAAATAAGATACAATAATTCATGTTTTTTTCTATTTTTTCTACCCATCGCGATGTTTTCTTCCAATACATCTCTAATTCTTCACCAACTGCCACATTCTTTATTAATTATTGACTAATAAAAAACCACATATGTCTCAATTTTTAACCCGCGCCACCACACAGCAAGTTTCCCACAGTATTATAAGGACAAAACAATCAGTTTAGTTTAACAGGCCAAGCGTGTTGGTGAGTTGGGTTATTCTGACCGTGGTTCTCTCGTGGTTATTTTAACTGTAGTTTCTCGTGACAATAACAGGGAAAGATATTAAGTGATAAGGAAATTTGTTATCATAGTAAAAATATAGTAATGGAGATTAGTGATGTTAATAATGAAAAAATATTAGTGATAATAATGATATAATAATGATGCTAATGATTATAACGATGATATTTATAATGATAACAGTAATATTAAAAAATTGTTATTAAAAAAATTAATAGTAATTATATCAATAACATGTAATAGTAATTATATCAATAACATTGATAATAATGATGATAATTATGAATTATTATTAATTATTATATTATTATTATTATTTATTATCATTATTATCATGATTTTATCTTTACTAATTTCATTATTATTATTGATTATTTTATCATGATAAGATTAATGTTAATAATAATGATGATGGTGATGATTAAAAATGAATAAATGAAATAATAATCATAATAATAATAATAAAATAATAGTAATGATAAAACTAATAATACTAGTAATAATAACAATGATGATAATATAAATAATAATATGATAACATATAATGAATAAAATGAATAATAATGAATAAATAATAATGATAATAATAGGATATAATAATAAATAATAATAATATTGATAAATAATGATAATAATAATAATAATAATAATAATAATAATAATAAAATAATACAAAAATAATACAATAAGAATAATAATAACAATGATGATAATTACAACAACAAAAATAACAATGAGTATAATAATATCAAATGAAGACGATTCTCTATTAAACCACAACATTGACGTCTTTTTGAAAACCTCAGCTCTAAATATGGCAGCGACTCTCCTTCTGTTGACACTGTTAACGGCAACAACAGGGGGTTTTGGATCCCCTGTTAAACCTGTTCCAAAAGAGCGTAAGTTTTATTGGTGTGTGAAGTTTATTCGCGTAAACTTCATGCTTTTGTTGTTTGTTTATTGTTGTTGTCAAGTTTTAGGGGTGTCGGTATGATTTTTTTTTATTATTTATTATTTATTTTTATTTATCTTTTTTATTTATTTTTATTTATATATTTTATTTTCATTTATATCTTTTTTTAGGAAAATATTATATCATAAAGGTTCAGGGAAAGTTTTTTTTTTTATAAAATTGTGGGGGAAAATGATTTATAATCTCGGGGAAATATATATTTATATTTCTTATGTAAAGTTTAAGTTTTTGTTTTCTTTTTTCATAAGTATTAGGAATATTATAAGCAAAAATTTAAAGGAAATTATGTATAAAGTTTTAGAATTAATATTACGAAATATAGAATTCTGGGTTATGTTTTTGGAAAATTGTTGTATTGTTTTATAAGGTTTATTGACATGCTGGAGAAGGAATATGAGATGGCAACAGAAAAAGGAGAAAGATAAATATAAATGGAAAAGAAGGAGAATGGAATGAGAAAGAGAGAAGGAAGACAGAGAAAGGGAGAGCATAGAAACAGCGAGAATGAAACTGAAAAAAGAATAGGAAAAAGGAAACAAACAAACAAAGAGAAAGACAAAAACGAAAAAATAGAGACAGAGAGTGATTTAAAATAATAATAATAATAATAATAATAACAATAATAACACACACCCCTCCCTACATTCCAAATACAAAAAATTAATGAAAATAAAAAAAATAAAAAAAAATCTTATTCCTTGCCTTCTGTTTTTAGTATTTGAAATCATCGTCGACTGGGCGCCCTTGGTCTGGCTTCATCCGGAGGAGGTCTTCTTCCCCTCCAGCGTGGACTTCCACTTCGAAAACGTTGAGGTAAGTGAACGTGTGTGAACGTTGAAATTTTCCCTTCTCTAGCCCCCCCCCCCCTCCAAGAAAAGGAAAATAGGAGAAAACGTTGAAATTTTTTCCCTCTTAGCCCCCCCCTCTAAGAAAAAGGAAATAGGAGAAAACGTTGAGGTAAGTGAACGTGTGTGAACGTTGAAATTTCCGTTCTCGAGCCCCCTCCCCCTCTAAGAAAAAGGAAATGGGAGAAAACGTTGAGGTAAGTGAACGTGTGCGAACGTTGAAATT